CTTTTTAGTAGTAATAGGAATCTATAATAACAAACTCAAAATGCTAGCATTGTTTAACCCATTCGCTGCCAAGTTATTTCTTGGTAAGAGCACATATATTATCATACATAATCATTTAGAAGCAGAAAACCAAAGATGAGTATATTCGTCGTTGGCAATGGGCCTTCAAAAGAGTCTGCATGTTATAATATAGTTAAAGCAGGACGAGTATACTCGTCCTGGCAATGCGTGACACCCTGCCAAAGACGAGTATACTCGTCCTTGGCAGGGAATGGGTTAAGTGTATAGTCTACATATACATCCTTAAGTCTTGCAACGTGTAATGGGTACTTACTACTATGTTTTTATTAGCTTACAAGTGGGAATTAAAGCCCTTAAAATTACTTCTCGGCTAGGAATTATCTTATCGATTTAAATTCTTTTATACCTATAAGCCTCTTATTTGTTCCGCACAACAGAAGTCATAAGAGCTACTGATAACAAATATTATTTCCTAAAAGATGAACTGCTTGATATTGATAAAATCGCTTTAATTATTTCATTGTACGTGATTTTTTCACAGTTGATCTTCCTTTACTTTTGATTTCTAAATATTAAAAAATTATACCCTGTAACTCATTGGTAGATCGTGAAAATATTATAATATTAATAATATCTCACCTTCCTTGCGTTTCTGGATAATTTATATGCAGCCTATCCGATTTAAGTAAAAGCAGTTGAATATTTCGAAACGTACAAGAGGTAAAAAATGGTTTAGATAAAAGTTGTAGCATATCAAGAAACACGTATGATGTTAATATTCACACTACCAAGAAAAGAACACGGAATGTCCTACGATTATCAAGTTTAAGTTTTTAGATGATATATTTTTCTTGCATATTCTTATAGGTAACATTGAAACGTTCACGGAACACTACCAAATTGTATTAATTTTCTTAAACTATTTCAGGGTTATTTTAAGGTAATGTAAATACCAGCATGGCACGTGCTTCTTGATGTGCTACAACTTATATCTAAATCATTCTTTGTATTTGTGTATATTTTTAAACTCTATTTCTAATTACTTGATCTCAGTTTATTCCAAATGTAAAATATGAAATACATGAAACGATTTCTGCCAAATCAGGAACCATGAAGCGGCAACGCCAGTTGACCTCTACAGAAACCTGCAGAAGTCTGTGAATAAGTTTGGTAAACTGCGCGTGAATGCGTCCATTGAAGATGTAATGGAGACCTGGGCAAATAACCCGGGATATCCCCTCGTATCAGTAGTTAAAAATTCTGGGAATCTCGTCGTGTCCCAAGAACACTTTCACTTGAACCGGCGGAACCAATCGTCAGCCGAATGGTGGATCCCATTAAGCTTCGTTGCGGAGAAGCATGCGAATTTCTTTGAGACAGCTCCGAGCCACTGGTTGCGACCAGGAGTTAGACATTTGATCATCGAGGACGCTGCACCGGATGATGATTGGGTCATTTTGAATGCGCGACAAATCGGCTATTACCGAGTGAACTACGACCGGGAAAATTGGCAAAGGCTGACACGTTACCTGAATTCTGAGGACTTTTATAAGATTGATAAGTTGAACAGAGCTGCTCTTATAGACGATGCGTTTAATTTGGCCAGGGCCGGCTACTTGGACTATGCGATACCGTTCGACCTTTGCCGTTACCTGACTCGAGAGCGTGATTACGAGCCATGGGTAGCCGCTATAAACAATTTCAAATTCGTGAACAAAATGTTGGATATTTCGAATGTAGCAACCCCTGTACCACGACTACAGGCTGCTTTTCAGGTGAGTGATCAAAAGTTGTTTTTTGGTACAGACAACTTATTGGATTAAGGAATCATAGGCTGATATTCAGAGTCATTGCTTATTCTTAAGATCGTCTTAAGCATTTGCTATCCCTACTTATCCGATAATTCAAGCCCCTGTCTTGTACAGGAAACAGGGACTTAAACAACTGCTTAAGACGTTCTTAAGAATAAACAGTGACCTTGAATACCGGCCAATATACAGGCTGTCCCAGAACTGGTGGTACATTTTTTAATGGGAGGTTTCTGAGATGATTTTAAACAATATTTTCCTTTGTCAAAATGTTGTTCGAGGTGTGGTTGTCGAATTATTAACAAAAAATCCCGACCAATCAGAGCGCCCGCATAGCGGATCAGGGGAGCGCCAACTGTCTTCGACACTGTCGCGCCCGTATAGCACGCTCGTGACGAGAACGTAGGATTAAAATAAAAGTTACATGCAAGAGCAACTAAGAAATTGTTTAAATATTACAGAAAACAAAGCAATTAGTCGTTAGGTACGTTTGCTAAATAAATGTAACATATTCAATGAAATAACTAAGAACTTTATGAATTACAGAGCAGCTAAAATTATAAAAAATGGGAAGAGAATTAGAGTTGAACTTAATCGTTCGTCTTTAAGTTTACCTGCTCCTAGAAAAACGTCACTGGGTCAATGTGTCGAGCCCTGGTACTTGAAGATAAAACACATGGGCAGCAGTGATGCTTCGAACAGGTCACTGACAGATATGGCCATGTGTTTTTGTTTCGAGTGTCAGGTTTCGCCACATTGACCCACTGAAACTCTTCTAGGAGCAGGTGAACTTAAAGACGAACGACTAAATCCAACTCTGATTCTCTACCCATTTTTTTATAATTTTAGCTACTCTGTAATTTATAAAGTTGTTAGTTACTTCATTGAGTATTTTGAATTTGTTCAGTGAACGTAAGTAACGACTAATTGCTTTCTTTTCTCTGATATTTAACCAATTTGTTAGTTCGTTTTTGCATGCAACTTTTCTTTAATCCTTTGCACTCGTCACGAGCGCGGCGTATAACGCAACGACGTCCAAGACAGTCGGCACACACCTGGCCGCCCGCTTAATAATTCAACAACCACGCCTCGGATAACATTTTGACAAAGGAAAATATTGTTTAAAATCACCTCCCATTAAAAAATATACCACCATTTCTGGGACACTCTGTATATAGCTTAAATCTTAATTTTTTTTAAGGGAGTCAATTATTTTTAAAGACAATGATAGTTCCTTTCATTTCATTTTTTATCCAATAAAATGAGTCTAAATAGTAATTACTTGGAGAACTCTGTAGTCAAGGAAAAGAGAAATTCGTTCAGTTTTAGCAACATCCTATGAAACACCTTTAAGTGGATATGAAAATGCATAGCACTTTTTTAAATTAAACACGAGGCTGGAGTGTAATTCTAATTGTTATTAACAGAAATATGCGGTGGACTTGTTGGAGAATATTTATAGACAATTGAATTTCACTGAATCCGCGGACGAGGATTTAACAACCAAATTGAAGAAAGAGATAATCTTATCGATATCCTGCCTGTTCCACAACCGTGATTGCTTGAATACCACGCTAAATATATTTTCAAGATGGTCTCGATATTCCAATGAATCGTACGTATACTTAAGTCTATAAACACTAGAATATCGTAAAATGAAATACAAAACCACGCCACGTAAATATATTTACTAATTTGAGAAGAAATACTTCAGACTTTCAATCTTAATAGTCAGCAAACAAATTTAGTAAATCTATCTTGGCAGCCGGGAGGCTTTCAATTAAATTTCTATTCTAAGCCCGAATAAAAAAATTGAAAAACGCGTTCTTCATATTTTTCCGTACGATTTCTACTAATTCTAACTCTTTTGCAATCTTTTGTACACATAATTTAGTAACCTAATCCACCTGATCACTGAGGAAGTTACATTTTCAATTGTGTGTTCAGTTTTTCTCTTAACTGTAGATCAGGTACGTTTCGTTAATGTTTACGTAAATTAAAAAATCTGTTTTTACAATACCACAACAGCACTCAATATTGCAGCAACGTTGCAAAAATATTGTAGTGTAAGATCGCAATATTTCAAACCATGTTTCTGCAGGATTGCTACAAATGAATTTCTGAAAGTATAGATGGTATTTCTATGTATAATTCCTTTACGTTATAATTGTAATTACGATTATGATCTTCTTTATGATTAAATATATTATATTAGGTGTACGAATAAGTTTCTGTCGTTTTTCATCTTAAATTTTACATTTATTGGAAAAGAACGGTACGTTATGTTTTATTCAAAGTATTGTCGATTGATAGTCACTACTTCTTCCCATCTTTCTGACAGCATCCGGATACTGCGTCGTAAGAACGCTTCATCTTTTGACGCTAGCCATAAATCGGCCCGTATCTTCATACGATGTGAAGTGCTGCTCAGGCAGGCCATGCGTCATCGATAGAAACGAGTAGTAATCAGAAAAAGCAATATCTGATGAATATGGGGGGTGGAGTAAAACTTTCCAATTAAGTGTTTCCAAGTAGGTTTTGGTCGGCGCCGCAACATGAGGTCGAGCATTATCATGCAGAAGAATGATTTTGTCGTGTTTGGAGTAATAATGGGCGCGTTTTTCCTTGAGTAAGTACTCGGCTCAATCTCATCAATTGAGTTCGATAGAGAGCCCCAGTAATGATTTCGTTCGTTTTCATTCAATAATGCTTTCAATTCTGCGTCTTTGTACACTTTCGACCTTCCACTACATTTTTTGTTCGACATCAAATTCACCGTTCTTAAACTTTTGAAACCACTCACGACAACTTCTCTTACTTAATACAGCCTTACCATATGCTTCTACAAGCAATCGATGCGCCTCAGCTGCAGATTTCTTCAAATTAAAGAAGCAAATCAGAACTTCCCGCAAATGACGTTTATTCGGCTCAAAACTCGACATTACCGCACGAGAAAAATAGACTACGCTGATACACAATTGCTAATATTTCGATGTTATGTTGTTGATAAATGTGCAACCTTACGATATGACGTCTTACATCTGACACTGGCCGCCATAACTTACTGGCTACGCTATCTGATTTCAAACAGCGGAGACTTATTTGTACACCCAATAATTTCCCAATAATATCGATATAACAATTACACAAAAATCATGAGAAACGTTAAATACTGTAACGTTATATATTATATTGTAAAGTTGCACTGCAACGTACAAATGCACTGTTGTTAGAATGTTGCAGGAACATTGTACAGCAATTGCAATGTGACAATGTTAATGATAAGCAATATTGAGTG